TGGAGATGGGGAAGTGACTGAAGACCTCCATGCTAAGGCATCAAAACCTGATATGGGACAGAGGTAATGTTTAGGATGCAGTCCAAAATAGGAACTGTGACATAATTTAGAAAGCTGCAACATTTCCATGTTAAAACATTCTTGCCTAAAGCAGCAAGACAGGTCAACAGAGTAAGGAATCTCCTTGTTGTAATATGCAGAAAAACCTGATGGATAGGAGTCCAATCAGGGCAGACCCATAGCCCCAGTCCTTAGTACCAAGAGAAAGATGCAACTGCTCTTTGCACGTGGAAGCCATGAGCTTGTCTCTTTCTTCCTCATTCATGGCAGGATGAGAGGTTGCTGCTTAGGAAAGGTGACTCTGAAGGTGGCTATACACCTTATGCAGGCACTTGAGCACACTGGAAGCTAGGGCAGTCCCAACACAAGAAAGTACCTTTTAAATGGTGCCCTGCAACAGTTTTATGTTGGTGAACCTAGGACTATTTCTTGATAAAATTCTTGGTGCTATTGACTTACCTGTGCAGGAGAGTGAGCCCACGTCATAAAGATCCCAGCAGGGTAATTGCTCAACCACTGCTTGCCCAGGTCACCCTGCTGTTGTGCAAGAGCTGCCAGCCCCATTCTCAGCAGCCCAGAGTAGGGTGTAAATTCCCCATAGCCATGGTCTCTAGTATCATGGTGTGTCATTTAGTCATGTAAACAGGATGCAAACCGAGTAACAAATAAAAATAATATGCATTCTAAGGACTTTTTAGGCAATTAGGGCTATCTGGTTGGACTGAAGAACTGTGTCTATTTATTCCTTTCCTCTGCTCTTACAGCAGCAGAGGAATTTTCCAAAATGTCAGTCAATGTTTCATCCACTGCTACCATGATCTTTCTCTGGATTGAGTAAATGGTAGGAAGGGTTTTACTGGATGGAAACTAGCAATAACTACGGTATTTCACAGTGACAGCAAGTCTTTGTTTTTCTTCTAATGCTATCAAGTAAGAGAGGTCTGTCATATGGAATGAAATTAACTAGTCAAGAGTAATGTATATATTCACAATATCTACTTGCTCTTTCAGATCAGAAATCAGTGCTGTACTATCTCATGGGTTAATGTGGAGATAGGCTTTGCTAGACACTAATATAAAAGGAGAGACTGTAGTGCATGAGCAGTTTCTGAGTCCCTATGTATGATAAGGAAGGCCAGAATTCATGTACCTTACTCTTGACTAGTTACTAAATCCTCACTGGTGACAAAGGTGGGAGGTGGACCGTTTTATCCTGTCACCATCACTTGGGAAATTAAAGCCCTTGGAGGTGGCACCAGGGAAGAACGAAGCCACGGCCTTCAGAGAAAGCTGTGCTTGGAAAGAAGGGGATTCACATAATAAATCATTCACTTTCTGTCTCTAAGGTTGTGTTAGCCTGCCACAAGTCTGCTTATGACAGAGGCTTTCACATGACTGGAAAGTGCTTTTCTCTAAAACTCCACATAACCAGAAGTCAGGCAAATAAACAGTACTTCTACAACAGGCAGGAAGTCCTAGCAAGCAAGGCTTGCTTTAGAGCACATAATGAAGTTGTCCTGCACATGTTCTGTGTGCTGATTTGCAGGATGGGTTACAGAATCACAGAATAAATCACAGAATGGCCAGGGTTGGAAGGCACCTCAAGGATCATGAATCTCCAACCCCCTGCCACATGCAGGGCCACCAACCTCCCCATTTAATACCAGACCAGGCTGCCCAGGGCCCCATCCAACCAGGCCATGAACACCTCCAGGGACGGGGCATCCACCACCCCTCTGGGCAGCCTGTTCCAGCACCTCACCACTCTCATAGTAAAGAACTTCCCCCAACTTCCAACCTAAATCTTCCTTCTTCAACTTAAAACCATTTCCCCTTGTCCTGCCATTATCTACCCTTGTAAAGAGTTGACTCCTCTCCTGCTTGTAGGCTTCCTTTAGGTACTGGAAGGCTGCAATGAGGTCACCCCGCAGCCTTCTCTTCTCCAGGCTGAACAAGCCCAGCTCCCTCAGCCTGTCTTCATAGGGGAGGTGCTCCAGCCCCCTGATCATCTTCGTGTCTCTCCTCTGGACCCTCTCCAACAGCTGCCTGTCTTTCTTTTACTGGGGACTCCAAACCTGGACACAGTACTCCAGGGGGGCCTCACAAGAGCAGAGTAGAGAGGGACAATCACCTCCCTGTCCCTGCTGGCCACCCCTCTTTTGATGGAGCCCAGGATACCATTTGCTTTCTGAGCTGCAAGAGCACACTGCTGGCTCATGTTCAGTTTTTCATCCATCAGGGCTCCCAGGTCCTTCTCTGCAGGGCTGCTCTCAAGGACCGCTCCTTCCAGTCTGTACGGATGCCTGGGATTCCTCCAGCCCAAGTGCAAAACCTTGCACTTTGCTGTGTTGAACCTCATTTGGTCACCCAGGCCCACCTTTCAAGCCTGTTGAGGTCCCTCTGAATGGCATCTCTTCCTTCCACTGTGTCAACTGCACCACTCAGCTTGGTGTCATTTGGGTTGCATTTAAAATAATGCTCTAGTGAAAGTAGCAGACGATTGTGGGGCATTGTGTGGTGTTGTATAACCACAATGAAAGGCCTTATTGTAATGTGCGCCTCTTATGGCATAGAAAATTATTGTGAGATTTGCAGGCTGAAGCCTCATGTTAGCACTATCCCAGCACTGTGCTGTTCATGCATAGACTGTGCTGAGTTCCATTAAGGAGCTGTTGGAAGACAACGCAAATGAAAGACGAGTATTTTGGAGAGGAAAAAAGAAAAGAAAAGCTGTGCATGAATTGCAAAAGTGGAGGTGTACCAGAGATCTCACACCACCTTTTAGCCTTTTTCACAGTACAGCGTTACATCCCCTGAGCACAGTGTTTTCATTTCTTCTGTCATACATTCTTAGCCAGCAATACTGTATTTATTGGTATGTGCTTGAAAATACTGGGGCATAAACAAATCGGGACAAAAACCCAAAGTTGATGAAGACTAGTGTAGACAGTCTGGAGAACTACAAAAGAAACCAGAGGATAAACGTAAAAGATCAACACCTGATTTGGACTAAAAGTGATTTAAACCTATGTTTGGACTACCAAAATACATAGTTACATCAGATCACACTTCAGATATTTGGAAGCAATACAGAGTTTCCCCTGTTGGTAAATTATTCCCTTAACTGTTCGCTACAGAGTTTCTTTCATTTCCCCCTGAAACATCTGGCGGTAGATGCTGCAGAAACCCACAGTCAGCAAGATATGCAAGCGGGAACCTAACTTTAGTTCATGAGTCATTGCAGTGGATCCTGTGGGACAGTTCAGGTGGTTAACGTTAAGCATGTGCTTAAGTACTTGGCTGAAATGAAGCCAGAAGAGAGGTTACTGGCTAGGTGGAGAATTGCCGTCTAACAGCATGTCCTGAACTGTTTCTAAAAGGGATTCATTTAAATCCTCATTAGAGGATGCACGTCTGCTGTGAGAGCAGTGATTCGTCCACTCTCTAAATGAGTGTACTGCTGTCAGCCCTCACAGCTGCCCCATTATGATCACTCCGTTCACTGAAAACACTTTAACAGGATTCTGAGCAAAAGGGAGTGATGGCTTGTGACCCGTTTCCAGCCATGGGGTACCTGTTTTGTACAAAATTTCTGTCTTTCTGTTAATAGCAATTCAGTGACTGATCTACAACTGTGTTTCCAAGGCAAAAAATCCAATCTATATGTCATCGTTCCAGAATAGCCATTGCCACTGCAGAAGCATAGAAGCAGAGCATTTCCACTCCCGTCCAAACATTCACTGATCTTAAAAATCCTTGGTTTTTAAACTTCCAACTTATTCTGGCCGTTGTAAGCGTGCTCTTTGAAGCCTGGGTTACCACAGCTCCTGTGATTTGTTCTGCTCGCATCCCACCCTTGTGTCTGCAACCCCACGAGTGTTTACTTTTACTCCAGCTTTAGTGCTACAAATGCAAGCACAGGTAACAAGTAACAGTAGAGATGGGCTTTGTGCTTCACAGTGAGCACATCCAAACAGTGCTCACGTGGAATAGATCTGTATTATCATACCTACGTAGGATCTGTATGATGTTTCCAAATAACCCCTTTTAATAAAATCAGGTAATTGTTTGTTAATGAAGGAGTAATTTCAAAAGTCTATATAAATAGAGTATCTGTGTTGTCAGTAATTCTCTTCTTTCTTTCTTTCTTTCTTTCTTTCTTTCTTTCTTTCTTTCTTTCTTTCTTTCTTTCTTTCTTTCTTTCTTTCTTTCTTTCTTTCTTTCTTTCCTTCCTTCCTTCCTTCCTTCCTTCCTTCCTTCCTTCCTTCCTTCCTTCCTTCCTTCCTTCCTTCCTTCCTTCCTTCCTTCCTTCCTTCCTTCCTTCCTTCCTTCCTTCCTTCCTTCCTTCCTTCCTTCCTTCCTTCCTTCCTTCCTTCCTTCCTTCCTTCCTTCCTTTCTGAATAAACAACCTGAAATGAAATTTTTGTTACATACAAGGCAATTTTCTTCAGTCCTATTATCTATATAGTATTTCTCCTTCCGTATTTTCCCCAACTTGCTAAAATCATAAGACTGGAAATTATAGTGCCAGCAGCTTTGCTAGAAAATGTCAGGCAGGCACACATTTTTTTTGAATAACAGCAGAGTCTATTTTGTGCTGGGCAGCATTGTTTAAAATAGAGTCTCTGAAGTCCCCAGTTTCTCACTTCCAAGTCAAGGCCAACAGAGAAATGTCACTGCCAAAGGTAAGATATAGATTTAGAAGAGAACTGCCATCTCAGCAATCATTTTGAATGTTAGTATCTTCTGACATCTGAGTACTGGTGGCAATGATCCACTTAGAAGAGAGACTTAACTAGGATTTATTTGTATGTCTTTCAAGCACTGAGTGTCAATCATCACTCCTTCATGCTTCTATTTTCCTTTGAATCACCATGCAGTACAGATGTTATAGTTTACTCCCCATTCACAACTAGACAACCTTTTATTTCCTTTGGCAGCTTGGTTCTGTGCCTGCTGAGCAATGCCTGAGCTGGAGAAATGCTTTGGGAACCATGGTTGGAATCTAAGGATGGGGCTCCATGTCCACCTGCACCACTCAGAGGCTGAGGTCATGCATGTGAAGACAGATGGCAGCACAAATGGTTGGGGAAACATCTGTGAGTAAGGGGGTAAACAATAGCATCAGTCATTGGAAGGAAGCTAAGGGAGAAAGCTTTGAGTCATCATCTTTAAGGGAAGTTAACTTGAGGCATCTTCTTGCAGTATATGGAAATGTTACTTTAGCCAGATATTAGGGATGGATGCAAGAAGTCACTGGCACATGTTAGTGCTCTCCTGCTAAGCAAATATCATGGCCTGTATTTCCTTTGGGAACTTTTCACTGCAATCCCTCTGTTCTAGCCAAGGAGCCTTCTGCAGTCCTTCTGCACAGTGCATTGCCAACCTTCCTCTGAAATTACTGCTTGCCAAACCCAATAGGCAGCCTGCACTCCTGGTCTGGGAAGGTGCTTGCCTTCATTGCAGGGCTGGCAGGAGGAAGACAACTTACACTGAGCAGCACTGAAATAACAACATGGAAATGCTCTACTGCAGTACAGACACAGATCTATGGAGTCACAAAGTGAGGCTGTTCTCTCCACTAGCTCATCACCTGCACCATATAAATACATATAGACAGACACATAGACCTTCCAGGCATGTTTCCTGTTTGTTTCAGCTCAAGGAAATTAGGTAGCAGAGAATACAAAGGAGTCAGGGAAAGGACCTGCCTCAAATTATGGCTTGTGCAGCTGTCCTCAGAGCAAAGCAAAGCTGCACATGGAGGAAAGGGAGAGTAGGCAAGTAGAAATTCTTCTTTCTGCTCTTTTTCCCCAGTGCTTGTTTTCCCTTCCCTGTTTTCTCCTATTTCCCCCCTGACTTCTGTGTCCTGCTTCCACTCCTGTGACTTGAAAATAGCTTTTGTAGCTCATCACCAACCTTGTCACTATTTCCTGTGCAACCACTTGGACCATTTACTCCAACCATGAGCCCACCACCACCATGCCCACTGACCATGTCCCTCAGTGCCACATCTCCACATTGATTACAAGAGCTGTCAGTGAGTTCTTCTCCCAGCAATTGTCCAGCAGGCATACGTGCTTCATAAAACTTCTTCTACAAAAGCATTTGCCTTTACATTATCCAAACTGATTATTAAATAGTAACCTAAATTTTCTCCCATGAAGTGTATACCCCAACTTAAGCATCTATCTCATTTGTCCCAACAAGACTCAGAGAAATCTGCTGAATCGCTGGTTTCCAGGGACATGGAATATCACTCCAAACACTTGAAAATGCTTCTAGAGGACAGAGGCTTGTATCCAGACCGATTACTTCTCTAATGCAAAATTTTCAGAGGATCGCTTCCATTCAAAAACCCACAACCCTCTCAAAAAATTAATTTTCAATTGCTCTTTACTAAAGGAATGTGAGAGTGCTTGACACAGCCATGTTAATGTGCTCTGTAAGTCCATGTGGAATGGGAAAGGAATATAAACAGATTATTTCATACAGTGTAGTTCTGTCTCTGACAGAGAGGAAATGAATCTGTTCAGTGACACCATTTAACCCTCGGAGGATCAAATATTAGCAGCCCAATTTAAATGACAGCATTGTTTTGCATGCTTTATCTTCCCAAGTGGGAAGGCAAGGGAATACACACTCTTCTCAAGGAGAAACAAGCTCTCTAAGTGTATTTTTCAAAAGTATTCCAGAACGAGTGCATTTTTTTGCCTGAAACTAGCTGAGCATCATTGTGCTATGGCCAATTGTGCCCCTCATCTAAACTCCAGCTTAATCCCAAAGCTAAGGAAGAATGTTTAAGAATAATAATATATTCTCAAGCACGTTTTACACATTTGTAAGAATCTTGGATGTATTAAGTTCTATTTAATAAGATAACAAAAGGGAAGTTTAGCAGGCTGTGATGACGTGTGGCTCTTTAAATCAGCAGTCAAAAGTTTTGCTAGAAGAAATAAAATGTGCAGACATCAAGGTCAGTACAATAGGTGCCATTTCTTGTACCAGATGTGCAAAAGGTGCGGAACTGGTGCTCTCTGTTGACAAAACATCCCTCCTGTGGTATGGCTAAACTGATAAACCTTCCTGTACTACTACTGTAGCAGAGCCACCACCTCTTGAAGGAAGTAAGTGCTGTTGATGGAAGGGCTATATTGCAAGTATCACTGTGTTTGTACAAGGATTTTCTTCTGGCAGCAGTGAGGATTTTGCTTCTTCATACCCCCAGGAGACATAGGTGTGTTGGCAGTTTCCCATTGCTGGCAAAACATTGTGACAGAGACCTAGGAGGTCTCTGTCAGAGGCCTGAACAGAGCAGGGCTATTGCTGAGCAATTATTGCCTTGGGTGTTTACACAGACATAAGAGTAGATTAGTCTTCAGAATGAAAATTGAGTAACTTCTGTCTGTAGCACTGAAGTGAGCCAAATAACACTTTTCTAAACAATAACTACAAAAAAAAAAAAAAAAAAAAAAAAAAGATTGTAAGACTCTAATGTCAAAACAAACCAAACCAGACTGCATTACAGGTGTTAAAGCTAAGCTCTAAAGAAGCAGCTGTGCGGTCAGCATCATGCTGCATAGAAAAATCTGCATCAGTCCAGAACAAAGCTGAATTTGTGGCAGTTCTTTTTCTTTCAAAAGCTTTTTGTTCTTTGTCCTTCAGAGAATGGAATGCAGCTCCTTCTTTCATCACTACCTTTCCCTCCAAGTCTGATGCAGTTTTTAGCTACTGCTTTATGATGAGAATGTGTTTATGATTCTGCAAACATTCAGAAATATTTCCTCGCATTTCCTCAACCCTCATGTCCCAGGAGAGAAATGATGGGATTCATTTGGCCAAGTGTGTGCTCCCATTAGCCATTGAAGGCTCTCTAGAGTGTCAGCTGGAAAGAAACAGGCACCATTCTCTCATTTAAAAATAGACACCTATGGGGATAAAGGCACTTCAAAATTTTAGGGTGTTTATAACCTTTACTTGTATCTATATACATCAGGATGGGGTGAATTGTATCCTGAAAAAGCCTGTTTCCCTCCAGTAAACTTCAAAGGGAGCCTTTCCAGCTTCATCAGGTATGGCTCTTTATACCTGTCTGTAGCAGCAATGTGGGAATTGGCCTCTGTGATAGAATGAGAGGGAAAGGCCTCAAGTTGCACCAGGAAAGTTTCAATTCAGATATTACAAACAATTTCTTCTTTGAAAGAGTGATGAATCACTGGCACAGGCTGCTCATGGAGGTGGTGGAGTCACCATCCCTGGAGGTGTTCAGGAGCCGTGTGGATGTGGCACTGAGGGACGTGGGCAGTGGGCATGGTGTGATGGGATGCTGGTTGGGTAGATGGTCTTAGAGGTCTTTTCCAAGCTTAATTATTTTGTTATTCTATGGTTCTATCTAAGAAGAGACCAGTCTCACTCCAAAATGTCCTACTAGCTCAATCCTTCTGTAACACTGCTGCACAGGTATGCACATTTAGCTCATGGTTTATGCTTCTATCATTCCAGTTGAGCATCCCTAACTGCATCTGACAGGAACTCCCCTGCAGGTTGGCCCACATGTAGAAGTTCAAGCCCTTCAGACCCATCTCTGAAACTGATGGGAATCTCTCTATAGTGAACGCTTCCTGTAAGGCTGCAGGTAATGCTGCCCTTGGACAAGAAGGCAACTGCATGAGAAAGCCATGTTGCCGCCCACGTCAGATAACTGCTGGTAACCAACCCTCCCTGCACAGCCAGCCGTAGTGGTGGCATGGTGTAACTCAAGGTGTGTCTGACATGACAGTGGATCCTGTTGAACAGCTTGGTGCTGCTGCAGACACAGCCCCGTTCCCCTCCACCATGCCCCACTCCCAGTCCTGTCTCTCTACCTTGTATTCCCTGTCACTGGGGCTCCTCCAACACTGCTGGCAGCTATCTGAAGCTCACCCAGCATGAGGAGGGATGCATTTTTTGGCACATTGGCTTCCTGGTCTGGCTCACCTCAGTGCCACAGGTGCACAGATGGAAGGAGTTGAAGGCATTGCTGAGACCAGAGGGAAAGGAAGGGGCTGAAACTCCAGGAACAGCATTGGCACAAAGCCAGCAACTAGGATCTTTTTATTTAATTACTTGAATAGCCCAGTTTCTCTTGTAACTATGTAATAAAATCAGTCTGAAACTTCTAACCAAAGTTGTCACAGAAGTCATTTGCCAACACTTGGTTCTCTGGCAGCCCCAGGGAAAAGAGCACATGGTCCCATGCCGCTTCCTGGGGGCTTTCTCTGTCTGTGCTCAGAGCAGAGAATGGTGGTCCCACAGCAGAGCCTCACAAGGCTACCTTCTCCCTGGAAGGAAATGGATGAGATGGATCCTGCCCCTCATCCCAGAAGCAGCCACCATCCCTAGATCCTCCAGGCTGCTCTGATTTTCCTGTGCTATTTATTAGTGTTTACAATTACAAATGAAGTTGACCTGCTGAGTTTTTAATGAAGGCATAATTTTAAACACTGTAATCAAAGAACTTTCAATTGGATGAAGACTTTCATTGTGCTACCAGTTTAATTACAGGAACTTGTAATCGTAAATAAACTTCTGCTTTACTCCTGCCTTTCAGACGGGTGACAGCAAGGTCTTCTCATTCGTTATCACTGAGTATTTGATCCTAACTGTGGGTCAAACTCCAGTGGCCAGGACTTTTACGTGGCATCCCAGGCAGTGTGAGTCAGCCTTGGACACACACAGCTCCAGGGTGAGATGTCACAAGCTACACTGAGTCCACGTGACACGTATCAGCAATGCAAAGAATTCTTGAGGAGGAGGTGTTACTTGGAATAAACGATTGAGCTGAAGGAGGTACTGTTTGACAAAAACTCCAAGTCAGCACAGACACTGCACGAGGTTGTCCTGCTCCCCCTTGTCCATCATACCCAGCCTTGCTGTCTTTGCCAGCAGCATCACTTCTGGGTTAACATGGCAAAACAGAATCAAGAGACCGACGTGGTTGAAAGCAACCTTTCCCTTCCCCTTCCCCTTCCCCTTCCCCTTCCCCTTCCCCTTCCCCTTCCCCTTCCCCTTCCCCTTCCCCTTCCCCTTCCCCTTCCCCTTCCCCTTCCTCTTCCCCTTCCCCTTCCCCTTCTCTCCCCTCTATGTGATAGCAGTGACACATTTGTCTGCTTAAATGCTGAGCAAGGTGAATCCTAAGGAGAAAGGTGTGAATGACTGCCAGCAGAAGTTTAGAGGTTGTTATTAAGTGTGTGTCCTACAAAGAAAAAATATGGTAAATGTTAATTATTTCCGCACTGTAGCTCCAGAAAAGGGCAATGCGTTTAAACAACATTTGAGAATGTGGTCTATCTGCCAGCTTCAAACCAGCCCAGTTGGCAAGCTTCCTAATTTGGGGGAGGCTGAGATGTCATACAGCAAAGGAGGTCTGAGCAATAAGCAAAACACACTGAGACCTTAGTTTCAGTTCTGCTTCGTCTTGCAGCCCAGTCATTTTCTAGACTTTGAACTTGCCACAAGCACACATAGTGCTCAATTTAAGGACTGGTTGGTAGGCAGGATGTGCTGCAACTGCCAGAAGAGATTAATTGAAAGAGAAGTATAAATGAACACCTTGAAAGAGAAGTATAAATGAACACCAGTAGCTGTGAGCACACACACACACACACATACACGCATAGAGTTATCAATTTAACTACTTCAATTTAGAAAAGATTGAAATAAATTGGCACAATCTTTTTGGACAGATTAGAATCCACACGCCTTGGGCTTGTCAGGTACAAAGAGAGTGTTTGATCTGCACTGCCACCAAGAAAAGGAAACTGCAGCTGTGACTCTACGAGTTACAAGACATAGTTACAAGAAAATAGGCATAAAAATAGCCATGAGCTGCCCATATTTTTTGCAGAAATTATCTCTCCATGCATTGTAGTAAATTTAGTTGTAGCTGATGGCAATTTTATGGTAGCAAAGTAATTATTTTGTTTTACTCTCAATAGTGTCAAGAGTTCACATTAGATGATTTACCACAATGCAAAAAGAATTTAACAAGTGCAACTCTGTAGTCATTGAATTCTGACTATTACATAATTCCTAAGATTTCATGGACATCAGTATTATGTGTACTCAGCATACAGGTAAGAGACAGAAGCAGAAATTTGTTACTGTTTCAAAGAGAAGAACAAGCTAATAACTTGATGTAGATTGAAGCACAGAATCGTGGAGTTATGGTTTGGGTTGGAGGGAACCTCACAGCCCATGCTGCCCCAACCCCTGCCATGGGCAGGGCTGCCCCCCACCAGCTCAGGCTGCCCAGGGCCCCATCCAACCTGGCCTTGAGCACCTCCAGGCATGGGGCACCACAGCTTCTCTGGGCAGCTGTGCCAGCGCCTCACCGCCCTCTGGGGAAAGAATTTCTGCCCAACATCCAATAGTGTATGATGATACTAAAACTATTAATGTGATACATAATATGTAATATATACTAATCATACTTTTTTCTGTCTTTGAAGGAGCTGGAGTGAGAAACATGTGTCCATATGCTGGTGGAAGCGTCCACCCTACTGCAGAGCCAGGCCCTTTGGCTGAAGCAGTGTAGAGATGGGTGTCATGGGAGTCATTCCTCTCAGCCTACAGCAGACCAGATGAACTTACTTCTCCACGTTTTTCACTCCCAGGTATCCAAAAGGACATCACCCGGTGTTTTATTTGCTCAGTCAATTTGAGCAGAGATCAAACATTGATCTTTCCAAGAAGATAGAAAACCACGGCTTTGTCAAGTGTGACTAAATAGGAAGTTACGATGGCAACAGCTGCTCAGTCTGACCTCTCGTGTAAGCGCTGCCACAGGCATTCATGAACACATTTAGTAAAAGAGGGAAAAACGGTGCTTGTTAAATTGATCTATCTGTGTTAGCTATTCCGTATGAAAGTGCTGGCAGTCAGAGATTACTGCTCTTAATGCCACGGTGAGAGCCGCCATCCCCTGCAGTGCTGAACCCAAATCACAGACTTAATCTGGGAGTCCCTGAGGAAAAGTGGGGAAGTTCCAAGAACACAGACAGCTGGTGGAGGGCAAGTGTCCACGGGCTGTGTGCTTCTCCAGTATTCAGTCCCAGCACTTGGGAAATGCTTGAAGGCAAACAGAAAAGCGGATATTTCATGGAGTTAGTTTATGTAACTTGGAGGATTCACGTGAATGTCACTGCTGACTTTTGCTTTCATTTTCAGGATTGCTGAATTTTATGCCTTCAAACCCTTCATTTTAAAGTCAATTTCAAATCTTGCAACAAAAGATGGTTTCTGTCACTGTGTTTATAGTCAGTAAGAGACAAGGCTACCCCTGAGCTGCATAACAAACTGATACAACATCCCACACACCCTGGTTTCCTTCTCACGAGACTTAGTTCCTCAGACAACAAGCAAATACATCACTTGCTTGGAGAGGACTTTCACTTCCTTCTGATGTACACTACTTCAAGAATGATTAAACTGCAGCCTTATTTTGCAAAATGCATTTCTGCTTCACCCGGCAGCTCCCAGTGGCTGCTGATGGGGCTGTGCACTGTGACACCAGCGCTGGCTGAGCTGCAAGGCTGCAAGGCTGCCCATGCGTGTCCCAGAGAGTGCAAGTGAGACACTTTTGCCTCCTCTCTGCTCAGAAGGATGTGGCATGGGGCTCGGCACTACACTTTTGGAGAAGCTAGCACAACCTCAGTCTCTCCCTGCCATCTCCCCAGGAACACACAGTGCATTACAACTTTGGGCATCGGTGCTCCTCTTCTTGCCTAAAAATAGAGCTGGAATGGGACTGTTTGAGACCCAGCCTTATGGTAAACAAGGAAATTGAGCACACAGCCACACAAAGCTTTGTTTATTTTTCTGTCAGGATATGTAAACTGTTAAAATATATTGACTGTAGTTCATTATTTTGGAGCCAATTCCCAACAAGTTTAAGAAAACCTTCTGTTGCTGGGCTGCTCCAGCACACTGCAAATCCCAAAGGCTACTTGCACGGTTACAGGCTTTACTGCAGCAGGCATTTTGATTCATTTAGCACACAAGGTAAAAGTTGTGTAGCTCTATGCCAACTAGTATAAGCATTTATATTGTGATTGCCTAAGATTGTCCATTACAACCTAATTTTCAATTGTCTATGGGGTTTTTATGTCAGATTGAAAGTAGAAATCCATTTTCAAGGACAAAAAAAGCACCCAAATAGCCCAGCCTTTAAAAAATACAGAAGCAGTGCCAGACTAGGTAATGTTAAGCACATTCTTCTTTAAATTTATGTTGCTCATATGTTTCTATTTACAAATGGATATCACCAACGGTGAGCTTATTTTATCTTCTGTTTTCTCTAAGGAAGCTCTTTCATGGATTGGACAGACTTGTAAGTCTTCAATAACTTCTTTCTAGGCACACGGTGAGCCAGAGCCACACAGAACATAGCATGCTGCACGTGTCACAAAGAGCCTCTCAGGTTGGATGGATGCTCAACCTCACCTGGAGCACTGGTTGCAGGTTTGATCACCACAACATAACAAGGACATAAAGCTATTCGAGAGTGTCCAAAGGAGGGTAACAAAGATGGGGAGGGATCTAGAAGATGTATGAGGAGCAGCTGAGGCCCCTCGCTGTGCTCAGTGCAGAGCAGAGGAGCCGAGGGGAGGCCTGACGGCGGCTGCAGCTCCTCACAGGGAGCGGAGGGCAGCGTTGAGCTCTGCTCTGTGTGACAGCGACAGGGAACGGCATGGAGCTGCGTCAGGGGAGGGCAGCTGGGGGTCAGGGAAAGGGGCTGCACCACAGGGCGGTGGGCATGGCCCCAAGTGCCAGAGTTCAGTGAGCATCTGGACAATGCTCTCAGACATATGATCTGAGTTTTAGGTGGTCCTGTGTGGAACCTGGAGTTAGAATTGATCCTTGTGGGTTCCATCTAACTTGGGATATGATATTTATGACTTTTCCAGGCTTGTGTGAGCAAGTGCGGCCATTCTGACATTTCCAAACCCTTGAGTATCTGAAGTTGCAACCCAAACATTGCTGAAGCTTGGCTTGCAGCATAGACATGCCTTCCCTAAGCCTATAACTCTTGGGAGCTGAGGTATTTTATTTTACCATCTGTGGTCTGTTGGTGGCTCTTCTGCTGTTCCCCATAGCTCACCTGTGCTCTGTCAAACCAAGGAAGTCTCCTGATATGGGAATAGATGGTCAGAAGAGCATGCAAGGTTCTCAAGAGTGTATGGAAGAAAGACTCCAAGAATCTTTTTTTTGTCACAAAATCATAATCTTCACCACTATTGTGCCATTTCTCGCATCCCTGGCTATCAACAGGACAGTCAGTGCTGGGAGCAGACCAAACACATCAAGCAGCAAATCTGTAAGGTGGAAGCCATTAACTGGGCTGCCTTCCTTCTCTAACACCAAAGTATCACAGACAACCCAGAAAAGGCATAAAAAGAACAAAACCAACAGTGTGGAGATGCGATCAGTGAGGATTCAATAGTGTTTACGTGGAAAGTTTGTAAAAGGCCACGTGACCTTTTAGACAAAGGCATCGTCTCTCCCACACAAGTATTTTTTATGGACCCTGCATCTTATTTCTTGCTGCTCTGTCTTTTCTCAGTAAGACTGACATCCTGGCATGTCTTCCTCACCTCATACAAAATCCGTGACATCCTTGCCACCACTTCCCTTACAGATGCCTCCCTGTAGCCCAGGCTCTTTCATTAAGGAGGGATTTATCTCCTGTGCCCCTCCATTGTCCTCTTGACTTCATCTTATTTCTCCAGCACTCCTGCTCTTTCCCCTCCCAGTCTGGGAGGATGACACACGTTTGTCATGCAGCAGGAATATCAGTCAGTCTGTGAAGGTAGCCAGGAGAGCAAACTCGGCATTTTCTCCCCTGCAACTGACTGACCCTTCCCCTCACTGATTTGTCATGCTTTCTTCTGGCTCTGGAAAATCCCACTGGGGTATCAGAGTGGGACTGCACACCAGTCCGTGATGCTTCTTCCTGTTCTTGCAGAGCCTTCTCAGAATTTTTTCTTTAGATCCAGGAAATGATCCATTGCTTAAAATTAAAGCCTTCCTGAGTACCATCCAAACTGTGATATGGGCAGCTAACTTCACTGTACACTTTGAAAGAAATCATGGTATAGAGTGCATCATGTTTACAGATGTCTTTTTACTAAATTTACACCCACAGTTTTTGCATAGCTGATCTCAGAAATAAGAATGGGTATACTGAAAGCTGGAAACTGCACAAGGATGGAGTGAGTTTTGTTGTTGTGTTAAGAACTGCATGAAAGAGAGGAAGCAATTAATGCATTGCCTTGGTAGGACAAGAGCTTTGAAGGGACATATACATGCTCAGTGCAACAGAAGAGAAAGTGAGAGTGCTGCAGATGACATGCTCCTTGGCATGCAAAAGAGACTGTGAGGAGATGCAACAAGGCAAGGAGAAGGAATCAAAGAGACAGCCAGACAGTCTCTGGAGCAGAGAAATAGAGAGGAACGAGGCTGGGAACTCAGCAAATCTCCCAAACTGTCACCCTGGTCACAGCTTTGGGCTTCTTCTCCCTAGGATGGACAGCAGGAAGCTGGGTTATGCTTCCACAACTTCTTGCTGCACACATGTACGCCTAGGGGAGACTGCAGCTAGAACACACAGAGGACACATGGGACCACAAAGCATGGATAAATAGGGATTTCGCTCAGTTCAAAGTCTTGGGACAGAAAACAAGATATGGGCAGATTATGTGGTTAGATGCACTCCTGACAGTATACCATAAGTGTGTTTTAAATGCTTCATTCCTAACAATGTAGCATTCCTAAAGCATGCTCTAACGCAGGAGTCAGAGCAGCCATTATTCTTTGTCCATTCAAACAGGCAGATCTTTTCAGCAGAGTCCCTCTCTCAGCGACAGGGGCCAAGAGGACAAGAAAAACTAAAGGTGCAGAGCAGCTGGAGTGAAGAAAGGGAAACTGGAGAGAAAAGAGATCCTCCTGCCCAGTGAACCACATGTGGTGGACACACAAGGCATGGGGCAGGGGAGAGAAAGGGAGATAAAGTTATGATGAATGGCATAGGAGATGCAATTGTGTCATTAAAGGTCAGAGAATAAAAGCACAAGAGCAAAAGGAAGCCAGCAGAAGTGGAGAAATGGTGGGGGAGAACATGCAAGGAGAACTGTGTTATGGAAAATTTTACAATGGAAAGTGATGCTGGGTTTCACAGCACTACATGCAGGCAAGCCTGATTTCCAGCTCCATGGCTTGAACCTGAATCCAGTGGTTGAAATCTGCTTAGAAGTACAAACCTCATCTTCCAAGTTCTCCCAGGTAGTGATTACCTCTTCCAGGTAATAAAGAAGTTCAGAAGTTGTTACTGCTCACACTGAAGAATTTGGCACTGGCAGTAATTGTTATCACATGCTTTTACAATGGTCCCCACCACCAGCGGTATCTGAGCACGCAAGGAAGTTGACAGAGTCAGGGCAGGGAGGTGCACAGCTGCCTGCAGCATGTCATGGGCATGACTAGCAGTCCGTAGCTCACTTCGGACAGCCTCTGCCCATACTGTGTTACAGATTGAAAAGAAAGCTTCCAGTGTACTCATTTAATTCCCATTCACAAGAGATTATAATATTAAGATATTTGTGAAGCGTTATCCAGAGGTACAGCAGAATTTTTTTATACGCCAAAAGCCTTCATAAAGTGCAGGGGCTGCCTGGAAAATCTAGGTTTTAGATTGCAAACACCGTGGTATCAGAGCAGCTTTCCACTGAGAGCTGTAGCATGCGTTCACATTTCTGTTACAAATCCTCATTCAGCTGCTGAAGGAGCTAAGCCAATTCTGAGGTTCTTTTTAGTTCTTCACCCTCCCCATGGGAGACCAGAGGGCAGATATTATTCCCACTTGAAGAGCAGTTACCTAGAATTTTTGACAAGTCCTTTGTAAACAGACAAAAGAAGATTAAAAACAAATACACTTGTTGGAGTTTACTTCACTAAATACAGGAATTAAGAATAGTTAATTAATTTGTCATCCCATTTCTCACAAAGGCTGTTATTCTTGAAGAAAAGAGCCCCTTCATCAGCAAAAAACATCACTTTTGTACTACTTATTATAGAGAACATAAAATATCACTGATAAAACTATTGCAACAAAACCAAATAGTGTATTTAAGTGCTCATCTACCAACATTTAAAATACTCGTTCATTTTATGTATCAGTAGATGAAAAGTAATTCCTCTAAAACTAGATCTACAGAGATCTTTTCCTGCTTTTGTGCAGTGTTCCCAGCTGGGCTCTGGCTTTGGATAGTAAATGTAATGGGCAGTGTGATTTTAACTTAGAATCCAAACCTTCCTCCCCAAGATTTTAGCCAAAGAGAAGTCATAGCCACAGGCAGTGACAGAACAGAAGAATTGGAAGGGCCGCCTGAGGAGCCTGTGGCTTAACTCAGCCAGTGCTTCAGTGCTTCACTTCCTAACAACTTCCAAACATCCAACCTACTTGCAGAATTACAAAATATATGTATTAGTAAAGCACTAGGAAACAATCGTTCCTAACCATTCATATAAGCTCTATTAAACTTTTAGATTTCTCTTTTAAATACGTCTGATGTTGTTTTTTTAGCCAGAGTGTGTTTCCTAATTTTATCTTAGGACACAGTCACATAAATCACTGTTTACTGCACCGATTCAGTACAACTCTAAATAAGACACATCTCTAGATCTATATGTTAATATTTGATTTTAGTAGATGTAAATTCTAAGAATTGGGATGCAAGAAATACAACCCTGAAGTTGCCCACCCTCATTTACACACATTGGACAAAGGTCATTACTATAAATGAGCTCCTGTAAAGCAGCACCATCACCTTATTTTGATCACTCCCTTAAATCACATTAGATTAAAACGGTGTAGAAATCATTCAGCACTTGTCATGTAATAATAAAAAAACAGGAAAAAACCACCAACAGTATCCACAAGATACACTCCTTACAACATCAGCTATCCGTTATATAGGACAAGCTGGGCCTGAAATACACAGTGGATTGAGAACCCAGTAGCAGTGCTGCTGCAGACCAAAGAGTCAATCTGGCATCTCTGTACTGCATTCCAGTTTCTGCAAGAGCTTGTAAGGCAAGCCAGCTCCTCACAGATAAGATAGAGAAATATGACCATACCAGTGACACAATGTGTTCACAGCCCTAGTAATCTTCCCACAGGCTATACGGCACAGATATCTTAGTCGTGAGACTCTCAGAAACTTATATCTGAATTCTTAGATCATGAGAAAGTATCTTCCTTGTCAACATGTGAACCCCTTATTACCCCTTTTCCTTTTCCTTTCCCTTTTCCTTTTTCCTTTTCCTTTTCCTTTTCCTTTTTTCCTTTTCCTTTCCTTTCCTTTCCTTCCCAGTGTTACATTTTAAGTTAAGGATGAGAAACAGCAGCACACACAGCAGCCAATCGGGGGGGAAATTAATGAATCCAGTGTGTGATTTTCCTTATTTTAACTGTTGTTCGATTTTCATTTTCAGTCTGTTCTAGGTACATTCATTCTTTTAGGATAGTTTAGATTACTGTTTATATTGAAAGGCATTCCTAATGTGGCATCAAACATCATCAGTGTTCATATTTTCCTAAATACTATGAATCTCCTTTCCAAACCAGACTTCATCTGGTAAGACAGCTCCTTAGATCTTTCCAATGCAAATCCAGTTCCCAGTCACAAACATCAAGGTTTGTTTGTCCTACCTCAGTACATGGAGGCAATGAACATCATCTCCATGCTTTAGGGAGCAGTTTGTGCCACAAGCAGGGGATTTCATGGAATTTGATTTCCTGTTGGTCTGTGTCCTTGAGATCCTTGTTCCTGCTAAGATGACCTTGGACACTTAGTTCTTTTGGCTACTTGTCCCCTTCTATGGGCACTCCTAGGGCAGAATGCCTGGAGGTGGCACGTGCCACTGGCCTGCCCTAAGGGAAGATCCTCTCCAGCATGGCCACCTCCTTATCACACCTCAATCAGCCATCGTGTCTGTAGGCTCCCTCATGTGTGCCCATGTTTCAGTTCAAAATGCACATGATTGGAAGAGCTTGCCTTGCAAATCCAGAGCAATATTTTTGTAAAGCTACATGGTGAATATATGCTAGGTGAATCTGGCTTGGATGGAACCCGAGGGCTATGCAGGGCTACAGGGTGCAGATTTAAGAACCTGCTCCTGAAACAAGCTGTGCCTGAGCCATTCACAGATTTTGGCTTGGAAGGAGCTCATTGGTTCAATCCAAAAGGAGAATCCATCATAGAATCACCAAATGTCCTGAGTTGGAAGGTACCCATTAAGATCATCGAGTCCAATTTCAGAGAAAACTAGCCATGAAAAATAGAGAGCCCAGCCGTTTGCAAGTGCCCATTCTCACACAATAAAACATCTGAACGATAATTTTAATGACTCAGGATTTCCTTAATTTTAACATTTCCTATGTTAATGAGAGTTGAGGACAATTTTCCGAAGTTTCGGACAAGTTATTCCTTCTCTGTGTGATTGTTTAGTGTTCAGTTCCTTTCTAATACCTTTTATTTTGGGATTTTTAATTTTAATGTAGTTTTGTCATCTGTAAGTTCATCACATCATGCTTCCATTAATAAAAAGGCAAACCATGATGCATTTCCTTTTATGTTTCTGGAGCGAATCCTCAAGGATAGAAAGCCTTCTTGCTGGCTGCATTAGCAGTATTTACTCTTTGCATTTGTCATTTATTAAAAACTTTTTCCTCTGTCATCTCATTTCTTACTAGAAATGCATGCATTAAATGTTAGATACTGGCAAAATTACCTCAGGAGTGCAGCTGGTGGAATTCTACTGTCTTGGAGCCACATTCAGGATTTTTAAATCACTTTTTCCTTTCACCCTTATACAGAAAAAGCACTTAAAAATAATGGGTGCTATTTTGAAAAGACTCTCAAGCACTACGTGAGGATTTCCTTTTGATTATACATCTGACTGTCGTGTACCATTCTGCCTTGGATTCTATGGAAAAAAAAAATCAATAAGGATTCCTGTACAGAAGATTTTACTCTGAAAGAAGTCTTCACAGAGATGTCCATCCCAGTCTTTAAACCAGACCCACCAAGTATGGGATGGAAGCAAGCTCCTTATAGCCTACGTTATACCAATCTAGGCAGCATCTAATCAAAGAATGTAAAACTCCACAGCTCTCATCCATCACAACTGCAGAGGAAATACCATCTCCAAAGGAATCACTGGTGAGCCTGTATCCCATCCACACATGTCCAGGAATGTAATATACTTCACTCAGTGTATGATAGCAATTAAAGAAAACAAAATAACCCTTGGGTCCCAGAAAGAATTCACAGAAAATAACACAGAGAAACACCTACGTGCCCATCCTTCCATCTTAATCCTTCTGTCCTGATCCTCAGAAGAAATCTGAAGATGAGCCTGGGAAGCATGGGCTCCCCATACTGCGATACAGAGACTTAGCAGGGAGATATTTCTAACGTTTTATAATCTCTGTTCATCACAGTTAACCTCCCTCCTTTTTACGCCAGATAAAATACAAGAGTGAATATTAGCAATCAGAAATTTAGATGGCCTTTCATGAATGCATGCTAAAAAGGATGAAAAAATTAACAACGTATTTTCTCTTCTCTGCTACGGTTGATTAATATAATGTGCTTAATAATATAGTCTCTGTATGTATGTATGCATGTATTATATAGTTTGGTATACTATATAATATATAGTCTCCAAAGGTGTTCCGATCTGTCTTCAAGAGAGTTACAGCAGAAATCCTCAATTTCTGAGCTACAATTTTTGTCATTAAGTCAGAGATTACATGCTTACAATACAATATTCCTTCCAGAAATAGTTAAAGAGAACTTTTTCCCCCCAGTTTGCAATGGATTTGAGTTAATTAGGTACTTCTCCCAGATAATAAGATTTAATGTGACTTAAAATACTTGATTCTGAGTTTTACCAATGAGAACAAACAGTTTTGAAGGATGGTCTTTGACCGACCATTAAAAGTAAGTTAATAAAAAGTATCAACCACATGTTGGGGGTGGGAAGTAAAACCTTGATGATTTTTTCACATATATGAGTTTGAGTTGTGGCTTCCATTATAATTCTTGTAAGCTCTATCAGCATCCAGATTTAGCAGCCTTAAGGCAACTCCAAGACGTTACATCTGAAAATGTTTGTATCACAACAAGCCCCATGTTCCCTGGGTCCAGTCTACATTTCATACATTTATTTTAAAAAAATACTAAAGAATAAATTTATATGTAGCTTCAATAACAACTTGGACCCCAAATGTTCAAAGTACACATAAACAAGAGTCATTCTGTAGTTTCTGATGGAAAGAATTAAGCTTTTGAAGCAGTAAAACAAGGAATAATGCTCGACTGAAGTCAAAGAGTAGCCATCTTCAGGTGCAGGACAGTTACTCGATGGGAAGACCAGCCATTTCCAGAACAGCAGACCAATCTTCAAATCATATAAATGCCCATGAGCACTAAATGAAGGGCATAAACTTGTCTGTATCAAACAGCTGTTTGCTGTTAGGATGAGCATTCTCAAGTACTGAGTAGGTAATATTCGGACAGTGTGCCCCATTGTTTAGGATAAGCTAAAGAGACTGTACTCTGGAAATAATTGTTTCTGCTCAGACTCCTAGTATCACATCTAATTTCTCACCCTATCTTTCTCTCCCAGTAGCTACAGTGGCACCTCATTTATGTCTGGTACAACAGATAAGTGGTTGTCATCAAACCCACAATATGAATTACTCATTATATCTGCTCTCAGAATACTTCAGAAGCTCGGGACAGTGTGTTTCTCTTTCTCTGGACCGAGCAGTTTGTAATACACTTGCTGTCTGCTTGCTGACTAAGGGAAATGTGAATTCCAGGCTTCCTCCAGCCCTGACCACAGGCGCTGGCTTGCTAGCATGCTCCTTGTTCATCTTGCTTACTACTACAAAACTCAATTCTGTCTACACATCCTACTTTCTGAGGACCCAAATTACGTACCACCAAATGATTGCATCCTGAAAGCTATGTTTATACTCTTGGAGGGTAGTGGAGGGTAATGCAGTGAGGTGGGTCATGCTCAGGGGATGTCCACTTTCCCTCATGTGTAAACTATTGGTCAACATGTTAAGAGCCTAATTTTTGCTTTGAAGTAGAGAGAGCCTTATGAATGGTTTGGACTATTACGTACGGTTTAGATCTGTGCTAAACAGCAATCAGCTGCAGTCTTTCGGCCACGTGTTTTTGATACTACTAACATTCCTTGAAGTAAGGAAAACTGAAGAAAAACTTTGAAGTCTGCCATTGCTCAATGAGATTAATACTACTGATGGCATTAACCTACGCACATCAGTCAGGATATTCACTTGAGAATAGCAAGGAATTGGTCTTTTGCAATGCTTTATAGTCACAGACTTAAATCTCTAAGAGCTGAGGGCTTTTTATAGTTCATCTACTATAAATGTTTGTTAGCAGGGGAAAAAAACAAACACAACAGTCTGAATGATTTACAATTTTTCTGTCATTTCAGAAAACAAACAATTAACTACTTTGTCTCCAAGAAGCTAAAAATGCTTTGTTGTTTTTGTTGCTTGTTTTTTGTTTGGTTTTGGTTATTCTGTTAAAGATGAACCGTAAAGAGCCCTCAGTTCTTAGGGTTTTAATCTGTGACCCCTAAAAGTGCAGTATTACTCTTGCATGTTAAAGTGCAAACACAGGAAAAGGCTAAAAAGTAAAAAGAGTCAGAAATCTGACCCTCATTTTAACTTATGAAGTAACTAGTAGTAAGTTTAAAGTAGAACTCCAGTAGTTTAGATTTGCAATAGAATAGTAACTTGTTGGGGTCACATTTGTCCATTTGGTCTCAATTTGAATTTGAGTGCAGTGCAAAAGATAGAAGTAGTGATAAACCAGTTGGACTTTCACAAAGTAATACTTGATATTCAGAAAGGCAACATACAGAGATAAATTCTTGTTTACAGCATGAACTTTGTGTCTCCCCTTGAGGTTATTTCAATATATAGAGATCTTGTATTACATTTACTTTCTCAAACTAAAATGTTAAAAACTAAATGGAAAGGGATTAGTGCCCTGAGAAAAAGCAGACTGCCTATGGATGACAAAGGGTCTACTTATGTTTTGTTTCAAAAGACCAAGTGATATCTCTAGTAAAAACAGACGAGCTTTGATGCATACAAGCCCATTTTCAGATCTAATAAAAGATACTACCTCTCCTTGCAAGTTTTGGCTTTCTTACAGCCTGATACTGTTCTGGCTACAAGGACAGTGATATTGCTCAAACAACACTGTTGCTGCCATTCACCTCCTGGGTTAAAAACACTGTTAGTATTTTTCAGTTAGTGTTAGAAGTTCCAGGAGGAGCCACTTCATATTTATCACACATTTTAAAGGCATGTAATCTCTCAGAAATGCTATCGAGCTACACAAAATACAATTTGGCATAAAGCTAATCTGTGTTATGTTATGAAATGACCTGCACAGTGAAATAATGGAATATACAAACAATTGCAGTCTTTACAAATCATCAGTGTAAAACTGAAATTTCCTTACTGTTACTGTTTTGTGAAAAGACAAATAATCATGTTTTAGGGATTTATTATTATTATTATTATTTGCAATGGCAATTATTTTATAGATAACTGACGATAAGACATAGCTAAGAAAAGCTTCTGCTTAAAGAAGAAAGGAGTGGAGGAACAAACATGTAAGTGAAGGTTCCAAACTCCTACTGTTCTGCATGATGCACTGTTAAATTCCTCTTTGAACTGAAACAAATAAACAAACAAAACAAAAAAACCACCCAACAACAAAAAAACCTTTAATCCTTTAATCCCAAGAAAGGAAAAGATAACTGACTTTATAAAATTACAGACTTCCTGCACGTACATATTTTCAGATGTAAGCTTTGCTGACAAGCTGTTTCATAAAACTTGGTTAAAGCTATTGGTACAAGATGTGACATGGAGCTGTATTTTGGTCCAATGGTTCCCTGTTGGTAAGTTGGTTCCCTGCTTACTACAAGACAATGAAGGTCCTGGCCGGTCCAGCATATTTAACCTAAAGCAGGCACTTCAGCATGGTAAGAATGTAACTAAAAGTTGGAAGGAGTTCAGGGCCAGAAGGTTGTAAGATACTAATGTAGGAAAACAAGCTTCTTTAGTTCTACTGCTCCCGTGGCAACCCTTGTTCTCAGAAACCCTATATAACAGAAAATGAACATGATATAATATGCCAGAGATGTCATTTTGTGAACAGCAGCCCCCCTAAAGTTCATACTTATGCAATGACAAACACTCAGTGTACAGAGACGCATTCCAAAAAAGTGAGGGAATGGCAGTATGTTGTGGATCTACAAAATTCTTGGCGGTTTGTTGACAGTGTTCTCATCCAGCAAATTTAGGATAACGTTGGCAAGTTTTAAGAATGGTTCCCAACTTCCCTTACTCTACTCAACAGGCTGGAAGGAAGTCAGACTTCTTCAAGGTTCGTGTGGATGAAGAGGACCATATGGTTGTCAAATCAGTTTGCTGAACTCTGTCCAAGCCCTCTGAGACTGATACTTTTCACATGGACACCACATGGTTTATCCAAGGTCAATTCGGCTGGGAACCAATTCAGCAGGAAAAAGGATGCATGCTGAATTGTGGCTTCCTTTCCAAAAGATGGACAAGGCACATTTTGGGATCTGCAAACAGAAATTTTCACAACTCGTCTCTGTGATATCTTCTCAGTATTTCATACATACACAGAATTTCTGTCTATGTCATTCCTTTAACTCTCATTTTAACAACTAAATGTTTACAGAAAAATAGAAAATGATAAATCATAGAATCATTGAGGCTGGGAAATATCTTTAAGATCACATAGTCCAACCAGCAGCCCATCACACCATGCCCACTGCCCACGTCCCTCAGTGCCTTCAGCTTAAGAGTCCAAGGTTCCTTACCAAATCTTTTTCTTACCGAATATCTATGATTTTTACGCAAGTATGCATTATTTTTTATGATCATAAGTATGGAGCAGAAACTGCATTTAACTCCCTAGAATGTGACATAAATCTCATTGCAACATGGCTATTAATATCTCATGCAACCAGAAATCAAAAGTAGAAAGAAGAAAAGTTATGAACATGAAGAAAGGTTGCATATTAATGTTAGGAACAATAATTGCAGCAGTTCTCTCTGTAGAAACTAAGAGGAAATATCTAACTTTGACCTTTATCTTTAAAAGGAACGAGATATAGTGTAACTTCAGAACAGTTTTTACAGCCTCTTGATACATTACTTCTATAAGAATTTTCTTTTTCTTTCTAATTTTGAATGCTAATTTGTATGTGCAAGGCATATATCTGGACATTATTTCCACAACTCTGTCCAATATACATGCTGCCTAAAGCAAAGTCTTGGGCAAGAGTGAATCATTATTTTCCTTACCTGTACTTGCATGCAGACTTTAAGTCAATGAAAAATTATGTAACCAACAGTGCTACTCCTCTGCATAAGTAATTTGTTGGGATGGGACAAAAAATACTGAAAATATTGCAAGATAGATCCTTGATGTGATCCTTTAGACAAATCTTAACATTCAAGCAGTAGTTCTTCAGCTTTCAAGCAACATTTTACTTCCTTGTCTGCTGCACTGCCTATGTTGTTTTCTGAAGTTCAGTAGATATTACGTAGTGCAGTGCTTAGGGGGGCTGAACCAGAAGAAATAAAAGACATTTCATTGTTCTGTGGTAAAAATCTGCTTTCTCTTACATGTTATTGTTCTTTTACGCTCCTAGCATAAGATATGCTTGAGCAATTCTGTGTGTTCTGTTTTGAAGCAGCACAGCGTCAATTAGAGTTTAAGAACTGGGAACAAATGCAACTATTCTAAATTCTGACTCAGTCCTTCTCTGCTTCCTTTTTGATTTCTTTGGGTCAGCTAATGATTACCACCATCAGCTTGCTTGTGACTAGTTTCACTTTTTATTTGATAAGGCTGGCTGCAATGGCAGAGCTGGAAAGCCTGCAGGGCAACATTTCAGTTCCCCACATTTTTCCTAAGAATGTTGTGAAAGCATTTCTAATCATAGCAAAGGTTGTGCACAAAGGGAAAGCAAGCAGAATGACTACTGAAGAATACATTTTTCTGTCATAGTTCTCTGCGTGGACACCTATCTGAGAACAATTGGGGAGTGTAGCGTGTGCCTACTGACTTCTGCCTTCATGCCATGGATACTCTTTAATCAGCAGTTTCCTCTCATGCATATCTTTTTGTTTCCATAGTTGCTCCAGAGAGATAAAGTGGCAACATATATTTGCAACTCCAGGAGTGAAAAAAAGAAAAAAAAAAAAAAAAAAGTGAGAATACTTTCCAGAGAGCAAACAGTGTCATACATGCTGAGCCGAGGCGATTCCTTTGGAGTGGTGCAAGCAGTGCTGGGTGGGCATTTTGGTTTGCAAGCCAGAGGCCAGGAGAACCATGTGCTCGTTTAGCAGCCACAAAGTGCCACTGCCGTCCCAATATCTTCTTTTATTTGGTGCCATAAATAGCTGCCTACTTTAGCCTATCCGTGACCTTTGATTAGCACGGCTACAAGCAAATACTGCTCTGTCAACACACTTCAGAATATAATTTTACAACAAAATGGAGGTCAAATATAAAAGTAAGAGAATAAACTGAAGTAATAGTCATGCGTAGTTTCGTTCCCCCCGCCAAACAGAACATTTCTATCTCGTTATATGAAGTATTGCACTTTCTGCAAATTGTACAAAAAGTGGAATCTAAAAGAAGAAAAATACCACCAAGGTCCTGGGAAACTGAGGAGCAATCAGTTCTCAGTTTGTTCCAAACCTCAGGTTTCAATTAAAGCTTCCACTCCTCTTGGCTGAAAGAACCCTTTGAGCAGGAGTACTTGCTACAAGTTGCACCAGTATTGCTTCTGCTCTTTTTGTGGAGTTTTATGTGAACTGACAGTCAATTTCTTGGTGGACAATTGCCCACGTTATAAAACTCCACTGACGTGTCATTATTTGGCTCTGCCAAATAACAGTGAGAAGGCTCATAGCATTTGGTGTGTCACTAAAAGGGAGCTACTTAACACAGTAAGAAGAAAGAAGCATCAGTAACCACAGCAATTTATTTTTTAAGAATTGAGACTCATCAAACAACATACAACTGAAACCACTGAAGGTGCAGCTATGCCTCTGTCAGTCTTCAGTCAGGAGCTGCAGGGAGAGCACTGAGCCAAGGAACATTACATGTATTACAGGTGCAATAATTTTAAGCATTTCCTGGGAGAGCAGAATGGATAAAATGGAAATAGGAAGGAAAGCCCAAAGTAATTAGCAAGCCCCAATGAAAAGGAGCAAGGAGGCCACAATAATACACTCATAGGCATGAAAATCACCAAGACGAAAGGGCTGCTATTTCTGTGATTACACATATTTCTAAACTGAACACAATAGCCTTACACTGACACAAATTTTCACCAATCGTGGCTTGCCTTTATTGCTGGTGAGTAAAATGCAAACACCTCTCTTTCAGAATGCAAACTGTTGCATTTGGACAGCAGTGAAGCTGCTGCATCATTTCGTCTGAGGTTAACACAAGGACCTACTTCAGATTTCCTTCCCAAGTAATCCCAGCCATTAGCAAACCCCAGCTAACCCTAACTTTGTTAAAAGAGCAAATAACAGGACGTATCACTGCTAGCTTTGAGCTCTGGCTTTTTACAGCAGACACTCCCTCCCCATCCCTGGAGGCATTCAAGGCCAGCTGGATGTGGCTCTGGGCAGCCCGGTCTAGTGTTTGGCGACCCTGCACATAGCAGGGCGGTTGAAACTAGATGGTGATTGTGGTCCTTTTCAACCCAGGCCATTCAATGATTCTATGATATGATTCTACGACCATGACAAGCTGTATTTTGGTCTTTATCACAGTGAGGTCCAACAGATAAACGCTGTGCACAGAGCAAAGGTACCAAGCCTCTGAGCAAATTCCAACCCGGCGACCTAAATTCCTCTTGCGTTTTCAGCTGGAGACTGGATCCTCCACTTCCTGCTCTGAAATTCTTGAATGATGTTAAAATGAGACTTTGACCTTGCAATACGGATGATAAAAAACGTCAGATAAAACCAAGCACGACTCCAGGTACCTGGAGAGCATGTTCCCCGCGTCTGCCGAATTTCTGACCCGTCACAAGGCGTCATTCCTTACGCTTAAAGGTTTTGTCTCCCTAAAGGCTACATTAAGCACCATGCTCCTAACGGCCTGCCGTGCGCACATAGCTCGGCCTTCTCAGAGCACTCGCACCCCCTCTCCAGGTGCCGGCCCTGCGGCCTATCGAGGCTAACGTCCATGGGACAGCCCGGCGCCCCGCGCTTTGTGCCCCGGCTCCGCCGGGCCCGAGGGAGACACCGGGCGGCAGCAGCGGCGAGGAAGGGAACCGAGAGAGAGCGAGCGGCCGCGTGACGTCATCATCCGGGTCTCGCGCGGTCCGCCCGCCGGTCACAATGGAGACCGCTCGAGCCCAACGGCCGTGAAACCGCCAGCGCGCAGCTCCCCGCTTCCCCCCCCCGCGCGCAGGGCTAGGGGCGGGCGGTGTGACTGACAGGCGCGGGGCTCGGGGGCGGGAGCGGTACGGCGGAGCCCTCGGAGCCGCGCTAGGCCGGGCCCAGCTCCGCCATCTTGGCCAGGGCCCCGCGAGACTCGGGCGCCGCCGCCGCGTCTCGCCTCGCGCCCTCCCCCTCTCATCCCCTCCCCCGCGTACGGAGCCGTCAGCGCGCAGCGCTCCGCTGCCCGGCCCGGCCC